TTTCTGAATATAAGTTTATAGGTGGAGAAACTTGTGTTTATCAGAAAGAATCTGTTTTACATGTGAAATTAAATGCATTGGACTGAAACTTAATTTAATGGTTTGAATCTGAATTAAAGTTTTGAATCTGAATGAATTTGCTTTAAAACTGCATTTTATTGGATTAAAAACTCAGTTAAGATTACTTTCACTTTCAATTTGTGTCCCATCCTGGTCCCTGAGAAAACCACAGAGTAATCAAACACAGATTTATGTTTCACTGAACAGATCTTATCTCTATGACATCATACATGTTCTGTCTGCAAATAATTTTCACTCATGGTGCTGACTTTATCTTTGATGTATAAAGATTAAACATGAAACATGAAATACAAGTAACAACCAGTGATATTCAGATTATATTCAACCACACATGTAGATTTACACACTTTAAAGGTCAAAACCTCATATTTTATCCATTTATGAAATATCTCATGAGCCCWCGCTGCTTGAGCTCATGGCAGAATTTCTTCAGTTGCACAGACTAAAACWAAAGTGGGCCACCCCACTGACTGCAAGATTAATTATTAAAAACTAAGGACTTTAATTAAAAAGTATTCATATTTCATCTGTTATATTTCTGCATTTGGCCCACAGCACCGGATACGTTCTCATTYTGACCCTCTCAGGGGAAAGTTTGGGCACCTCTGGTCTAAAGGAAGCATCAACATTGACAGAAGTACACAGTGATGGGCAGCACTCATCCAAATATTAGTTACACTAACCCTAAAGCACTAACTCAAACATTTAGGTCCCCTAATTCTAAAGCACTAACACTGAAAATGTTAGCAAAAACTAATTCTAAAGCACTAAAATAACCTGTTGACACATGAAACATTCTTCAGTCAACATGAAACAATATTTACTGTGTGCAGAACGTTGTCAGTTTGTGCCCTTTGAGGGCCAAATAGGAGTCACCTGCCGGCCACATTTGGCCCACGGGTCGTGAGTTTGACATGTGACCTTGTAGATCAGTGACACACATGTGAACAAATGTGTGACAGTTTCCACCCTCAACTGTGAACAATAACATTTAAAGACCTCAGTTAGTGCTTCTAAATTTAGCAAGTGCTAATCCACTAATGAATTTTAAAAAATTGCAAAAGCTCTAAAGCACTAATCAGGAAATGAKTTCCTCTGTTAGTGMTTTAGTGCTTTAGGGGAACTGTGCCCACCACTGGATGTACAATAATTAGCATGTTTGTATGAGAATCATTCAGCAACATGTTTGACAACTGGAGCGTTTCACTGCTGAATGAAGTCATCACATGACTGACAGGAAACACAACTTTAGAGACTTTATCACTTTATTTAATATTTACCTGTGNAGTGCGCTGACTCTGTATAAGAGGTCTTGGCCAGCTAGGAATGGGATAGAGTCCAGTGGTGACACATACACTGGGTGTAGTATGAATGTCATCCAGCTGAGCTGTATCTGTATCAATGATACAGTGGATATACTGTAATGGAGTTGTTCTCTGCAAAAGCTTTTATCTCCATGGAGCGTTGCTTTTGGATGAGTTTTTTGTTAGCATGTTCAGCAGCTGCACGCAGCTCCTCAAACAGTTTGCTTGACATGATTGTCATGTCCGACCCGGAGTCTAGGAGGGCTTCCACTGTGACTGCGTTTTCCAGTCTCAGTGTMAGGTAAAACTTCTTTGCGCACCCTTTTGTGTTAAGGTCACAAAGAAAATGTGCGACCTCAGGCTGCCTACGCATTGTTTTGTTATGCTGGGCAGTTTGTGTGTTCTCTCGGTCTGTTTGGACCGTCAACACAGTGTTGGTTGTGTTTGGGTCTTCCCCCATTTGTTTAAGGATGTGATTTCAGTGTCTGTTTTACACATTGAGTCAGTCCTTACCAAGTTGATACATTTTACATGAGTTTTTTTATCGTCATCATCGTTGTCTTTCTTTTTGAAATCTTCAAACAAGCGACGCAATTTTTCAAACTCCGCACTAAAATATTTGTAATCTTTAGTGTTGTAGACCTTTGTTGACTTTTTGCCCTGTTCAGCATGTTCTGAACGTGGTGAAGGAGGGTTAGATCCTTTGCAGTGGTCTGTTTTGGGGCCATCCACGATTGTTGTGGTACCCTTGGTACCCGTTAGTTGGTTTGTTTTTAGGACCTGGACCCCACTGTTGAGGTCTGTGGTCACTTTTTTGGTTTTGATTGCCCCACCATGGTTTCCAGTTAGCACCTTTATTTTGAGTTTTGGTAGGTTGAAAGCTTTGTTTCTTTTTACCTTGTTTAGGAGATGGAGGCTCTGCTCGAGCTCCATCCAGCTCTACAGTAAATGAGAGGATGTGGTTTTGTTCATGTAGATTTATGGTTGTGTTTTTTTTTTTTTGTGTGTGTTTTTAGTTTTTCAAACGCCGCAATCGCCCAGTCTCTTAGTTGTTGAATCTTATTGACTCACCAGTCTGCGAGTATTTTTAGTTGAGCACTTGTGTCTTTGTGAAGGTTCTGTATAAAGAGAAATTTAAAGCCTGGATCCTCATCCATAAATGGTTCGTTTCTGTTACCAAAATAAGCTTGCAAAAGCTTAYAATAGTACTTATTAGGATGTTCATTTCGACCTTGTTTTATGGGTTCGGCGGATGGGTAGCCAGGGGGTCCCGTGTTGGGAGTGTATTCCCTTTCTAAGCTTTCACAAAGAAGTGTGTAGTTATTTATAACACACACACACACACACACACACACACACACACACACACACACACACACACACACACACACA